CCCCAAAACCCCAAAACCCCAAAACCCCAAATAAAAATATAAGTAAATATTCAATAACTAAAATTAGAATTTTTTAAGATAATCTTTTAGATAAATGAGCTCATAAGAAATTGTCCTCTAACAGTTTTCACTCCTTTGGAACTAATTTTGACTTTGGCATTGGTCTCTTCTCATTTTCCTTGTCAAGGGATTGAGCCAATTCAAAATTCTTTAGTGCATTTCTAATTGCAGGTCTTCCCGCCAATAATAGTCCTCTTGGGATTCTACCGTCATTGGCCATTTTAATTTAGAGAAGAACATCTTAGTTTTCAATAAGATTCTTGTACATTCTGCGCATTCTGCTAATCGAGTTAATTTTGGTCCTCATCACTTAGGCATCAGATGCCCCAATCATTAATTGTGCTATATTAGAGTTGAAATCCTCATCATTAATCTCTTCTAGCTCTTCAGGCTCAGCACCCTGTTCTAAGATATTATAAAGCATGTCAAGAATCTTCTCTGATAAATAGGGCATCGAGAATTCAAAAAGATTTAAACCTCCTGCCAAATGATAAGGATGAGGAACTTCTTCAAAATTCTTTATTCCAAAGTTTTCACCCTAAAATAAGTTTTCCTAAATTTTATTTTACATCAATTTTAATTATAGCGGCTTTGTTGTTATAGCAATCACAGTAATTAGGTGCACTGAAAATGGTTATTACAGTGGGAATGTCCTGAGACTAATCCCAAGTATGCATTTTATAGCCTTGCATTTGTACTTAATGGGCTCTTACTAGAAGAGTGAAGTCCGATTACTCTAATATTCTCTTAGTTGGTTTTAATCCGTATTTAAATGAGCAAGCTCTTTCTGGATTTTCTTAGAAATCGAATTTACTAGCAAGCTCATCTTAAATCGGATCACTCCAGAGGATATCACATAAAATACCTTATTCTGGTATTTCTTAGAACCTATCTACTTTATTGAGGTCTTCGATAGTGTTCATTAATGGTGATATTCCTCCATGCATGCATAAATATGTTCCATTGACCACAGCAGCTAACGGTAATGTGTCAAAAGCTAATGTTATTAAATCATAGATTTCATCATCAAATTTATTTATTACTTCCTGTCTAAAAGTAAAGTGTTCAGTAACACCTCTACTTTCATGGTTACCTCTCAGTAAAATGAACTTTCTAGGGTAATTCATCTATCAATGATTATTAGCATATCAGCAATACTACTTACCTTGATCGAAAATAGAAGCATTAGACACTCTAAGGAATACACACCTCTATCTACATAATCTCCCAAAAATACATAACTATATAAAGTGTTATGTTACGTGCTCATTAATAAAAAATATCTTATTACTTAAGAGTCCTAGGATCACCAGCCTTTTCTATTAAGTTAACTAAATCATAGAATTGACCATGGATGTCTCCGACAAGAACACTTGGACCAGTTATTTTGACAACATTTGCTTCTTTTTCTTTAAATAATATTAAAAAATTTTTAGGCTTACTCATTATATTGATACAACCCTAAATTATTTGTACTAGATCACTCTTATTCATTTTACCCTCTCTAACCAGATGATCCTTAAGCAAGTTCCAGTCAGGTATTTCTTGCGACCCTTTCTTTAGAGAGGTTGGGAAAAGTGCGTCATGACTTATAGGCTTTTAAGGAGGCAATGGAAGCTCTTTAACAACCCTATCTCCTACGGCATCAGGCAACGTTTCCATTATATAAATTAAAATAGAATTAATACTTCAATTATTAATATGATAGAACTTTTAATACACTAATCTTATTTTTGAAAAATATATCATCCAATATCGTAGTGACCTTGCTATGCGGGGTTTTGGGGTTTTGGGGTTTTGGGGAGATCGGAAGAGCACACGTCT